ATTGGAAATAATGTTTTCTTTTCTTTTATTTTTGATTTTATTGATTTTGGTTTTGTTTGTTTACCAATAAATAAACTAGTGCCTTGAATAATAACTGTGAAAAACCTTCTGCTACTTAAAAATTTGCAGATTAATAAAGAACTGCTCGTAACAATACTAATAAAAATTTAACTGATACCATGTTATATAAAATAATAATAATAAAAAAAACTCTTTAGCCTTATGATATTTACTAAAGTTTATCTAATTCTATACTACTTTTCTCAGAAAATACTCAAGCTAATATTAGTTTACAAACTTTATAATTCAGAGCTAAAGCTCTATCTCAAGATACTTTTTCACTAATTCTCTAATTGATAAGATGCTGTAATACCTAACTATACTATACTATATCCCAATTTAGCTTGTATATACTCTTATTTAATGTTTATATAAATCTAGTTCCTATTGTAGCTTTTCACTAAGTTAGTCATCTGTGACTTTAGATATCATATAAGACAGATCTTTTCAAATCTAGTTAGCTACTATACTAAATTGGTATTGCTATTAGTCATCTGTATCTTCAGATATCACATAAAACAGATCTTTCCAAATCTAGTTAGCTACTACATCAAGTTGGTGTTGCTATATGATCTTGTATAACAAACTTATTCATATCTATTTCACTAATCTTTTTATATATAGATTTTCTAACAAACTTACTTGCATCTATATCACTGATCTTTTTGTATACAGATTTTCTTTTCTAAATCAAATATTAACTGGTATAACTGTTAAAATCTGTACTACTTCATCTAACTCAAGATTTCTACTATGCAAGTTTTCTGTCTGTAAATCCTATCAAGATTTATTTGTATAATATTATATCTCTTCAAATACCCTGTCACATTTCCAATATCCAAATGATATTGATGCAATGTGATTTACAGAGTTACAACTTCAAAAATAGACAGAATTTATTGTAAGTTGAATACAGAAAGTTTAAGTAATTATTCAATTCTGTCAACAGTAAGATTTGAACTCCAAACCTCTTGTATAATGATCCAGCCTAACTACTACACTAAGATTACCAAACTTACAAAAAAAATATTAAAATATAAACCAAACATATTCAGTTATCCAAATCTTAGATCCTGATTTATCTTGTAAACTATGCTACCCTGTAACCAATCTTCACTAAACATATCAAGAATTTTGAAACTAATACTAACAAAAATATTTAGCAACTACTTACTCTCAGAAAACAGTTACTGCTCATCAACTTCTTACCCTTAATATAACAAATAACGAAGCCAGAGTAGCAGCACGTGATATTATATTTAGCTGTCAATATAGAGCACTTTTAAATAGCCAATTTTTAGCAATTCAAATTTTGTAAAGAAGTTATTAAACTATTAAGCTAATTTTGTACTGTATTTCAAAATATTTTAATAAAAATTTTTAGTCAGGACTTATGTTTAATGATACGTATAATTGTAGATTCGGAATATCGATGAAATTCTAAAGTAACATAAACAAATGACAAATGCGTATAGTATGTTAAAAAAATCCGTGTATCGTATAACCGGGCACAAACTGCGGGTTTACGACGTCTATCTATTAAGAGATTTCCCTCAATATTGTCTAAATTGGAAAAACTTTAGAGATTATATCTTTTGTCGTGAACATAATAAAATAAAAAACGATTACTTAGTACAGTTGCTGAAAATTATTCATACGTATAGTTTATCACGTAGATTCCATTACCACCTAAGTTATTTTAAGATCCGAATCCACTTATCAGTTATGCTGATTCTGAATCCACCTACGACATGACAAAGCATTTCGAATTGCCCTTAAAAAAAAAAAAAAGGAGCAAGATTTAAATGCTAAAACAAGATCGAACACCACACAATGAAACTTGATATGCAATGTGATAAAAAAACATTCAAAGTTACAGTTTTAAATTCTTATTTACAAAGGCCAATTCATCGTCACTAATAAAATGATTATCATACTAAGTATAACTAAAATTTATGTTGGTTGATTCTACGAAATTGCTAGAAAACAATAGTTAATGCACGAAGTGAATTGATTTTTTGAATAGTAATAAATATATCTATTATCTTATCATTAATACATCTCATGATTTTTGGTTAACTATTATACGTATGCAAGCTAATACGTATGTGATAATGTTTTGCGAACATGCAGTAATAAAGTGGCTTATAGTTTGTATCAAACAAGATGCTATGTAATAAACTAATCTTCAATTAATCGTTTTTAACCATTTGAGTCACAAGACTACACACACAAGGATTCAAGTTTGAAACTCAATGACTGGATCCGAGTAAATTCGATCTGGTGAAGAAAAGTTTCAAAATTAATTTATTTATAATGAGAAATCATTAGTAAACTCGGGGATTTTATATAACTGGTTTTAACATTAATATGTCAAGAATACATTATACCATATGTCGATATACTCGGATAATTACCGGTATTCATGTGTCGAGTTTTTTGAGTCTGTACAGAATTTTTGTAATAACTTATAGTCAAACCTTTAAAACTTATTATATGGCAACAAGAAGTTGCATTTAAGGAAATTTATTCGTTAAAAGCTTTATTAGAGAATTTTGCTATATCAAGGAATATATGAGTCAATCATGTGATTAGGAGGGCAATTACTCAAAGACAATTAAGATAATTCCCAAGCCGCACCACCACACGTATAAACATTAAGCCTACATCTGAAGATTGTAAATTGAAAAAAAAAATTAATAAAATATTATCATTCGAGAATGAAGTCATTTGTCAAATTTTTTAAATTCCATTATACACGAACAATTCCATTAGCTCGATAACGCTATGTCAATGAATCTATTATTACAAGCAATATTATAATCTATATAATTTATGAAGTCTTTCGAGATATTGCAAGTTTCGTAGTATCCAAAAAAAAAAACCTTCAACTTCCATCACTTCAGTAAATAAACCATTAGCCATAAATGAGTGATACACAACAATTGCCTACAATAATAATGTTTCTTTAATCAATGGATACGATATTAAATTTCATAACCAACAAACACAGCCTAGAAAAACTAGATAAAAAAAACAATGATTTATTTACTATTTCATGAATTATTCACGAATTTTCAAAGAGAATTTCTTTGATTTGTACCGTTTGAACTAATAGAAAGCAATGTCAGTTTATGATAATTGCGATCAAGAATATATCCATCATGATGATATCTCACCGGTACGCTAGATAATTTCCTCAATTACTCAGATTAAAAATTTTCAAATCATGAATAATTGAATAATTTCCTCTTAAAATAGTTTTGTGCTAATTTATTAGAAAAGAGAACTTTTGAATATGAAATAGAAAATTCATGGAATCCATCTCAAGATTCTTTAAAACGTGATGCGAATCCACTAGATGACGAATTATCTTATTATAATTTAATTTATTTTAAGTCCTCTAATGAACCAACAAAAAATGAAGAACGACGTATTCTCAAACGTTCCGAAGATGTTTCTTCATCTAATACTACTCTCGAAAATGATAAAAATGCAACATTAGTAGAAAGTGTTGCAGAAGCCATAACAAACGATTTAAAAAAAATAAAATCCATTTTCGTAAATCCTCCCGAAGCGGAATTAGGTTCTGATGGATGGCCAGATAAATTGATTTATGATCCTTCAAAGGATGAAACTTACTGGTGGCGTAATGATCCCGTGTTAAATTTATTTCATGAGCATTGGCATCTGGTTATGACTTCTTCTAATATCGGTGGAACTGCTAAAGATCGGGAGGGTGAAAACTTTATTTATATGCACAGGTTTATGTTGGCCAGGTAATTTAAACCTCTTGCTTTAAAATATCGATTTTATTACCAATTAATGTAATAATTATTTTTAAAAGATATGATGCGGAACGTATTGCTGTTGGTATTGGAACTGTAATACCTTTACCTGACTACAGGACACCGATACCTGAACCATTTTATCCTCCTCCATATTTATTCACGGATCTTGACGGTGATAAGGTTCCATTTCCGGCTCGTCCTCCAAACCAAACATTTCGCGATATTTGTAATTAATTATTTTTTTTATACAGATTTCTTTTTAAAAAAATATCTTTAATGAATTTTCTAACAATCTTTCTTTAAAAAAGTTCGACTTGTTTCTGACGAATCATCAATTACAACCGTCAAGAATTTAGAAAACATGCTATACAAACTAGAACAATGGCTCGATGGAGAAACAAACAGTGAATATCCTGACAAATTACAGTTCGTTGATTCAGAAGCAAATTTATTAGGTCAAGAGATTGAACAAGGATTACATAATGTGGGCCATATGATGTTAAGTTATATTATGCATCCTTATGCTGTCGGTTGTAAGTTTCTTAATTAATTAGTTAATTTGTTTCTTTTTAAATCTTTTAAAGTTTTTATCTTAATTCCTTTTCGGCGTTTTTTAACAGACGCTCCTAGTGTATTGGTTGGTGCACGCGCCGGTACACGTGATCAATTATTCTGGAGATGGCATCGTCACATAGATAATATTTTTGATAAATGGCAAACTAAATTGGGTCCTTCTGATTTTCATCATGATGCTCCAAATGTTACAATCAAACATACAGATATCTTTTTGGTTTTTACTGATGTTTTACTTGATGCTAGTGTAACTACAGATCTGGATTTTTTAGAATTTGGAAAATTAACTTTTGGTGGTGAAAATTTCGAAAAAGATTTATCAAATAATTCGTATGTTACTGATGTTTTATATACAAAGATGAAAAATAGGACTTTAGTATGGAGAGAGGATTTATATGAAGAGGAGAATATCACTTATTTATATCCAAGAGATTGGCAATATTTTTTTAGAGTAAGGAATGATGTAAATGTTGTAAGTATCATTTACTATAAGTCAATTCACATTTTGCTAAGTTAGATTATCATTATCTTTTTATTTATTATTATTATTATTATTATTATTTATTATGAGACTTCAATCGTCACTTTTCGAATCTTCATTGTTCCCGAAGAATTAGCCAATTCACATGTTCATTGGATAGAACTTGATAAGTTCAAAAAATCCCTTGCTCCTTTCGAAAAAACTGTAGTAGTTCGATCCTGTGATAAATCAATCATTATCCGAAAACCTGCCCAAAAGACAGAAGAGCAATTAGATGAAATCCAAATTACTCCCGAGTTGACCAATAGAATGGTAAGACTTACCGTAAGACAAAAGTCTGAAATGATGTTTTGTGATTGTGGTTGGCCTTATAATCTAATTATACCGAGAGGAAAGAAAGGTGAAGGAATGAAGTTTAAAATGATAGTATTTATTTCTGATGGAACAAATGATTTGGTACCATTTTTTGATCAATGTGGAAGTTCCGTGTTATGTGGAAGTGAAACATGGGATCAATTTCTTCCAGATATTAGGCCTCTTGGATATCCATTTGATAGACCGTTTAAAAATGGATCGTACGTGGAAACTTTTAAAGGTTTAACAAATGTTGCAATTAGAGATTTTAGAATTGTATGGACAGATGATGATTTTCCAGAGGTATAATATAAAATGGGCACACTTTAGATAAAAAATTCCTATTTTATTTATTTATTTATTTATCGATATACATTTTTGTATATGTAGTATTTTAAATTTGTAACATTTTATGATTTGGAGAGAAAAATCACAAAAATTTTTTGTTCATTTTTGAGATGCTTTGATACATATAAATTATCAGCCTTGACTTTAATTTTATTCCCCTTCATACAGTAATATATAATTAAGTTGGCTATCAAATCTTTGAATTCATTCAGTTCAAACCTGCTATTTTCCGAGCATTTAAATGTTGTATACCGATACGATAAAAATAAAATTTAACGTTAAATTTCACGTTACAAACTGATCTTAAATTAATTGACTGCCAATAAATGACATCTATTTTGTCAACATATCTCAGTTAGATTTATTTTTGATCTACATACTGTTTAGCACCCGGGTCTTATTCATTGAATGGTACTGTGTTAGGAACCGGGTACTATTTTAGGGAGGATACACTATGGGGATATTGTATGCGAGGGGTCTTGTGCAAATAAATAATAATACCGTAAATTCAGAATTACAAGTTACGAACACGGATCGAATAATCTAATAGTAACAACGAACTTCTTTTAAAAACAAACTTCCTTATGAATAACTACTATGACAATGTAAGTAACGATACTTTTTGGTTAAATCAAGTGGTAAATTTATCGTTACCATTATGCATGAATGCAGGGCCTATTGCATAATTATTTGCAACTGAGATTTATCTATGATTAACTAAAGAGTGCTGTTTAGTTGAGATAGATTAGTGCCTATCCATGAACTATCAGACATAGGATATTTCCTCTTGAGTATTGTAATTATAGATCAAATGACTTGATATACCTAATTTCATATGTAAATTTATGAAAAAAAATTATTTAATCTTATTTATATAAAAAAATAAAAAAAAGTTTTTTATTTAAAGTGAGATTTTTATTTTTTAGTATTTAATGTTTTTTTTTTATAAATTTTTGTAAGATATTAAAAATATAACTTTAAGAAGATCTTGATTCAAAGTTGAACTCTTCTTTACTATGTTCTTTAAGTCAAAAAAC